GGTCTCTCTCTCTCTGCCGATCTCTCTGTCGATCCGTCTATCTCGGTCTCTCCGTCTCTGTCGATCTCGGTCTCTCTCGATCTCGGTCTCTCTCTCTCTCTGCCGATCTCTCTGTCGATCCGTCTATCTCGGTCTCTCCGTCTCTGTCGATCTCGGTCTCTCTCTCTCTCTCTCTCCCTTCCTCTATATTAAAAACAAGTTCTCTTTTACATTGAGATACTTGGTTGGATTTGGACTTGGACTGGTTAATCCAAGCCTGTCTTACTGCCATTACAAACCCCTAAAATCTTATAGCAATTTACCACTAACTTTTCGCCAATCCAAATGCTAAAATTCCTGGAAGATCTTTCTGTGCAATTATAGGGTTAAATTAACCATGGAGACCTTTTAAAAAGAAAAGAAAAGTTTGTTCCCAGCGCTCAAGGCTCCCACTTATTGTAGGTTTTGGGAGAGGTAGTAGGCAGACAACCTCCCCCCCCACCTTTTATGATGTATAATTTACTCTCTTAATTATAATAATCCCGAAAATTATCATCTCATCTCAGTTCATGACATGCTTAATTCGTTTAGTTTCTATTTTGAACGCAATGTGCAGGCATGAGTCAAAGTTTATCCAAATAATTGTTCAAGAGATTGTGAGTAAATTGGATTTCACGGTCTTAAGTGTTACCCCCTATCAAACTGGAATAGATTCTCATGTAAAAGACATTAATCTGTGGTTCCAAGGTGGGTTGAACAATGTCAGCGTAATGGTGATCTGTGGGATGGATGGAATAGGGAAGACAACCATTGCAAAAATTGTTTATAACCAAAACTTAGACAAATTTGAAGGTACCAGTTTTCTTGCAAATGTTAGAGAAACTGCAAAACAACCTAATGGTTTGGTTTGTTTGCAGAGACAACTTGTTTCAGATATTCTGAAGTGGAATAAGGAAAGAATATACTGTGTTGCTGAGGGAATCAATAAGATTAAAGATGCTATGTGCTGTAAAAGAGTTCTAGTTGTTCTTGATGGTGTTGATGATTTGGACCAAGTAAATGCATTATTGGGGATGCGAGATTGGCTTCATCCAGGAAGTAAGATTATGATAACTACTAGACATGTGCAATTGCTAAAGGCTGATGAAGTGTACAAGTCGTATGTGGTTAAGGAATTGAATGATGATGAAGCATTTTGTCTCTTCAGCCGGCATGCCTTTGGACAAGACAAACCTATTGAAGCTTACATGGAGCACTCAAAAAGGGTAATACACCACTGTGGTGGCCTTCCGCTAGCTCTGGAAGTCTTGGGCTCTTCTCTATCTGGTGAAACTATTGATGTGGAGAGAAAGTGCATTAGCAAAATTAAGAACACATTTTCCTGAGAAAATTCATAATGTGCTTAAAATAAGTTATGATTCTTTAGATGATCATGAGAAAAATTTATTCCTTGATATTGCTTGTTTCTGTAACACCTGCCTCTTACTTCCTTGTTATTTTTATGGTTAATATTACTTGTGTCTTTATCTGCACCCTATATGCATATTTATGTGCATCATGGTTGCTATTAGATACGTTCCTTATGAAAAAGACCTGTCTGATTCGTTAAATGGTAAGGTTATGAATTAACTAGTGGACCAAGTGCTTAGAGCCTAATTTTCCATAATTAGAAAGGAAGAGTTCAGTTAGCATTTTGTAGGTGTATTTCTAATTTAATAGAATTAACTAAGTTAATGAAGTCAATATTCCATAGTTTGGTATGGATGCTTACATCTTTGTTTTGTTTATTTATATTTATATATGTATTGGTGTTGGACAAAAAGAGGGAGAGATAAGAGAGTGTGAGAGTTTTCTAGAGAGAAAGAAGAGAAGTGAAGGAGGTGAAGGAGATCTTGAGCAAATTGATTAACTTAGCTCCTTGAGGTACCATTTCTTTCTAATCTCTTGCATAAGGCTAATTTTCACCTTGAACTCATGGGGTATGAGAAACAAATGGGAAGCTTGAAAGCTAGGGTAGTTAATTAAATTAAAAACCCTAACAAGAAGAAGTCAAATTTTGAAGAAATTATAGCTCATCTATTTGATCTTGCTTGACCTTAAGTTAGGTTTCTATAATTTTGTTGAATCATTAAGCTTCACCCAATTTTGAAGTTGTTGACGAAATTCTTGAGCTTGAGGTTGAATTTAAAGGTCTACTTTTGAGTGGAACATGAAAATTGTTTGTGTATCATGATTGTTAAATTTTGGTCTTTAATTTGAGCAATTTTGAGTTTGATTTTGTGGAGTTTGGAACCCCAAAAACAGAGCTGAAACTCGGTTCTGGAGCACCTAGAACCGCACGTGCGGCTGGGGAGCCCGCACGTGCGGGAGAGCATCGTCGCACGTGCGGTTGGTAGGCCCGCAAGTGCAGAAAACAGGGGTGGAGGATGATGCATTATGCAATAAAAGCACGTAGGGGCGCACGTGCAGATGGGGTCCCACACGTGCGGCCAAGGACCTCCGCACGTGCGGCAGCTTTGCAGCCTCGGTTTCATTTTTCTGTGTTATTTTCCCCACTCTCGAGCCTTTGTCACCATAATTTACATCTAATTAGCTAGTTGTGTGGAAATTAAGTGTTCTATGCTTATATCTGTTTGTGTAGGTCAACCGCCTCATTCCAACCGTCTGCTACACGAAACGGACTGTGAGTAACACTGCTGTATAAATATGTTTAATCCTGATTATCTTCTTCTGCTTCGAACTTATATTTATCTTGAAGGATTCCTATGATAATGAAAGATGATTTTACCATGATTCTCAGTGTTTGCCATTTGGTACCATTAACACTTATAGATCCCTTAGTTCCATCTTTCGGAACTCCTGTTTAATGTGAGGTTGACTATCAAACCTGATTTTCGGTCTTATGACCACATGTTCGGTCTTCTTGACCGTCTGTCCGGTCCCCATGACCGTCTGTTCGTCGTTTCTAGACTGCCTGTATTTGCTGCTTTTGGTACACGCCATGTGAAATGTTATGCTTTTTAAATATTGAATAAGCTTGTTTAGTTTGTGTGTCATTTTACATTATACTTGTCATTCATAATCTCCTCACTCAGTTGTTATTCACTGGGTCTAGCTCACATTTTGGCATGCCTTGTAGGTGATCCAGCTCAGGAAAGGACGTAATGGCATCGGTCTTACTCGAGTTTTGCCAAGCCAACCATCGAGCCTCACCGCGAGGTTCCTCACCTACTTAAGTTTGAACTGAGCCGATGTCCACCCTTTTGTTATGCATTCATGTGTTTTGGTCATGTGGTTTTTAATATTATAACTGTTGTCATAGGAGTATCTTTCTCCCCTTTTCCTTATATTTTTCTGACGAACGTGTAACGGCTGTTGTACTTATGCGTGTATATATGTGTGTGTATATATATATATATATATATGTATAGCAATGTCATCTGAATGCACAGCTCAATGGACGTTTT